GGGCCCGCAGGTGGGCAACGCGCTGGGGAGCCTGGAACCGCTGCGCTGGATGCTGCGCTCGCCCTTCGACCGAAACGTGCCGGTCAACCTGGAGCTGCAGGAGCTGCTTTTCGACTACAGCTTTCAGCACCTGGGTGTCTCCTCGCAGGTGAAGGGTGCCGTGGGCTGGGCTGGGCTGGGCTGGCTGGAGGGAGGGGAGCGGCGAGGTCTCATCTCCACTCTCTCCGCTCTCGGAGAGTGAGAGCCGGTTGTCGTTGAATCAGTCAGTCAGTCCTTCACATCTTAAGTGTGTACTATGCGTGAATGCTCCGTGCGGGGCCCTGGGGGTATGGCAGTGAACAAAACAGCAGTCCTTTTCTCTTGGAGCATACTTTGGGGCATATGTATTAATATTTAAGAGGACTTCAGAAACTTCGTGGAAAAATACAACTGAAATATGAGTTTATTTTGGTGCATAAGAATTGAAATCTAGGGACCAGCAGTTGGTGTAATGGCTATGTCGCTGGACCCCCATGTAGTTGACCACGGTTCGAGTCCCAGACCCGGTGGCTTAAACTCACGGTGGGGCACGTGTGTGTGTGCCCCCCAGATCCCGAGAGGAGAATGGAGGAGAAAGGATTGTGGCATGGCCTTCCCACCAGGGCATGATTTCTCGCTTTCTGTCTCTTTGTGTCTCTCTCTTTTCTGGCCAGCACACATGCCCTATAGCAAAAAACCTCTCCCCCAAAAAGAAAAGAATCGAAATCCATGCAGGTTTTTGTTATTATCTGCATTTCCTTGAACTTTTTGAAGACCACCTTCCATGAGCTTCTGTTAATTAATTTGCTAATAAACATCTATTGAGCTCCTAATCTGTGTCAGGTATTTTTGAAGGCATTTGTAACACATCTGTGAGCATAATACAAAACTTCCTGTGCAGTGGAGCTAATCTGGAAAGATATTCTAGTATGAAAAGACAAACGGTAGAGTTAAATAGTGGATTCTGTGCCATGAGAGGAGAGGAAGGAATTACCATTTTTCAGTAGGTGTTTGGGGTAGGATCTCTGGAGAAGGTGATACTTGAGTGAGGACCTGAAGGTGGTGACTGAGGGAGAAAGTTACGTGCATATTTGAGGAGAAAGTATTCTTCTCAGAGGGGACAGCCAATGGCAAGGTCCTGAGGTGGGAGTGTGCGCTGCTCCTAATTGCAGAGTGGCCAGAGTACTTTCTGGAAGAGGATGTCAGAGGTCATGGGGGCATTAAGTAATTCTGAGTGATACAGGAAGCCACTGTAGGGCTCTGAGCAGAGAAACTACAAGATGTGTGTTTCAAAAGGATCACTATGGCTTCTGTAGGGAGCAAGGGCCGTCAGGGGTCAATAGGGTGGAGACAGGGAGACCAGTTAGGCTTTTGCAGTAATCCAGGAGAAGGAAGATGAAGACTTAAACGAGGGAGGTGCCAGGGGGTATGTAGTAAGAAGTAGTTGGATTCTGGAGCTGTTTTTTTTTTTTGTTTTTTGCAGAGGTTTTTTTGCTATAGGGCGCGTGCGCTCGCCAGACAGAGACATAGAGACAGAAAGCGAGAAATCACCCCCCAGTGGGGATGGTCACACCGCAGTCCCTTCTCCTTCATTCTCCTCTCGGGATCTTGGGCATGCACACACACGCACCTGGCGTGAGATTTAAGCCACCGGGTCCGGGACGCGAACCACGGTAGACTACGTGGGAGTCCAGCGACATAGCCCTTAGGCTAACTGCTGGTTCCTAGATTCTGGAGCTGTTTTGAAGATAGTGCCAAAATGATAATGCTAACAGTTGAGTGGGGCTTGACTTAAGTTGACTCTACTTTTATATTTTCCAGTAGCAATAATAAGATGAGTGTGTTTTTGTGTGCTTGGCACACATAATATAGTATAATGTATTTCAATAAACTTTAGACAATGCTAAAAAAAAAATGGGTGTTTTAAAGTTGCTTCTGATGAGGTTTTTGATTAGAGACTGAAAGTGAATTCAGCCCTGCAATAGGATTTTTTTATCCCTTTAGAAAAGTATTATTCTGTTACCACTTACCTGTTTTCCCTTTTCTTTCGAAGTAGGGCTGTGTTGATCATCCCATGGTATTGACCGAAGCTGTGTGCAACCCACTGTACTCAAGACAAATGATGTCTGAGCTTCTTTTTGAGTGCTATGGGATTCCAAAGGTTGCGTATGGGATAGACAGTCTCTTCAGCTTCTACCACAACAAGCCAAAGAACTCAATTTCTAATGGGCTTATCATTTCATCTGGATACCAGTGCACACACATTTTACCCATCTTAGGTGGGAGGTGAGTTGAACTTGTGTTATTCCAGTACTCGTATGTGCACTTGCCAAAGAGACAGACAAAGCAAGAATTCACACCCTGCCCCAGGAGTGGAGAGAGGGAGAGAGAGAATGGCCATACCACAATCTCTTCTCCTCTCAGGACTTTGGGCACACATGTACATGTGCCCAGAGTGAGTTTTAAGCTTCCAGGTCCAGTACTCCAACCACGGTCGGCCACACGGTTGTCCAGCAAAGTAAGCATTAGATCTGCTAGCCTAGGAGGTACTTCCTCACTTTCTCTCTTTTCCATCTCTGGTGAATGTAAATACTCTCTAGCAAAAAAAAAAAAAGAAAAAAAGAAAAAGAAAAGAAAAATCTGTTCCTAGTTTGTAGTTGGGCTTTCATTGTCTGATAAGAGGCTAGCTTAGCATCGTACTCTCCCAGAAAGACAGCATATAAAGAGACACGCTCCTGGGGCAGAGCGTCCTGGCTTTGGAGTTGAATACCTGGGTTTGCAGCCCTCCTAAGGATGAGGTACTTAAGTCTATCCACTTAATGTCCTAGTGTGTACAATTGGGGGGAAAAAACAAAAACAAAAAAACTGATTCACAGGATTTTATCCAGAGGATAAAAGGAGATCATCTAAGTGATGGCACTTTGTAAACTGTAAAGCAGTCTGGATATCTAAATAAAAGTAAATGTCATTGAATTTATCGAGACCTATAAGGGGAAGTTCTCTTGAAATCTCCAGGAAAATCTGTGGAGAGAAAAGTAATTCTTAGAAATTACCAAACACTCTTGAAGAATGGCATTCTCTATTTTATCTAAATAGACTATACTTAAATTAAAAGTAATGTGTTCTGATGTTAAATTGAGAAGATATTATCTTACCTGAAAGTGTAGGAAGTAATCCGATTGAATCATACTTTGTTCTGTGCTGGCCTCTACTGGTGACGTGTGACATAGCAGCGACATTTCAGCAAAGTTCCTCAGGCTCTTTATTCCTCCTCACATTAAGGAAAGAGAGTGGCAATTCTCTTCCCTTTAGGTTCCCATGAAAGGGATCTGTCTCTTAGGGAATTATAGTAAGTCAGTATGTGTGAGGTTGCTTAATGTGTTTCCAGCAGTAGAAGTGTTTGGGGAGAGATTCCCAAACTCTGGCCTACCCCAGAGTCATTTGGACAGCTTATTAAAATGCACATCCCCTGGACCAGCAGATGTCGTTGTTGTTATATTGCTGGACTCCCACATAGTTGACTGCTGTTTGAGTCCTGGACCTGCGGACTTGAAACTCACACCTAGCGTCTCAAGAGGAGAATGGAGAAGGGATCGCGGTGTGGCCATCCCTCCTGGGGAGTGATTTCTCACTTTGTTTCTCTGGCAAGTGTAAATGCCCCATAGCAAAAATCTCTCTAAAAATAAATAAATTAATTAAATGCATATCCCCAGGCCTACCTCAGAGCAAATGCATCCTAGAAATGGGGATGTTTAACATTTTTACCAGCTTGTTCTGGGATATTTGGCCTGAGGACCACAGTTTGAGGAATACATGATTTTTGCAAAGCTTTGACTTTGTTAAGTGTGTCCTTTCTGAACTGTAAGGTTTTACATTTCTCCCTACTGGTGTGTTTCTTCTTCATTTGCATTAAATTATATTTCCTCCAAGGTGTTCTCTCCTCCACTCCAAAAAATCTTTACTGCCGTTTTCTGCTGCTTGGTTGCAGGTTAGATGCTAAAAATTGCAAGCGCATCAATCTTGGAGGAAGCCAAGCAGCTGGCTACCTCCAGCGTCTCCTCCAACTGAAGTACCCCGGACACCTGGCCGCCATCACGCTCAGCCGCATGGAGGAGATCCTGCACGAGCACAGCTACATTGCCGAGGATTATGTGGAAGGTAATGGGGTTTGCTTCCTTAGATAGTTCAGCAGACTAATCACACATGCAGGTTTGCTTTACAAATGGTAGCTTTTTCTTTTTCTTTTTTTCTTTTTTTTCTGTTTTTTAGTGTTTGCTGTAGGGTATATGCAATTTTGGGAGAGAAAGTGAGAAAGCACCCAAGTACCCCTTGTGGGGGGATGGCCACGCTACAATTCCTTCTCTTCTCAGGATTTTGGAAATGCACGTACTTGTACCTGGTGTGTTTTTCAAGCCTCCAATCTCAGGACTAGAACCGTACAGTCAGGCATGTGGGATCCAGCTGCCTTAACAGCAGGGCCTGGTCATTTTGGGGGAGGGGGGTGAGTTTTTGCTGTGGGGCGTGTGCACTCACTAGAAAGATAGAGACAGAGAGACAGAAAGCGAGAAATCACCCCCCAGTGGGGATGGCCACGCCACAATCCCTTCTCCTCCATTCTCCTCTTGGGATCTTGGGCACGCATGCATATGCACCTGGTATGAGTTTAAGCCACTGGGTCCAGGACTCGAACTGCTGTCAACTACATGGGAGTCCAGTGACATAGCCATTATGCTAACTGCTGGTCCCAGGGCCTGGTCATTTTGTAACCCTTTCTCCTTTAGTTCTCCATACCATCAGGATCCTGGGTATGCGTGCATGCGTCCAGTATATTTTTCATGCTGACTGTACCAGAATTTGACCCTGATTGGCCACATGGAATCTGGCGTCCTCTGCGTAGAACTTAACTGCTGTGCTACGGGGCTACCCCTCTTCTGCTTTTTTTAGGTTATTGAACTTTTATTTATTGTATTGGTGTTCCATTTTATTTTTTTCAAAGAATGATTTGTTTAATTTTGAAAAGTTGTTTATTATTATTATTATTTAATTTGACCAGAGAGAGACAGAGAAAGTAAGAAAGGAAGCTGCCAGGTCTGGGACTTGAACCGCAGTCAGCCATAGTTAGCCCCTTAACCACTACACCACCTATTGGCCCTGGCATCCCATTTCAGTTTGTTGTATTTTTCACTGTATCTCTTTGAGTTGTTCTAGTGGTTACTCTAGAGATGGTAGTAAACATAACTTTTCATAATCTGCTTAGCTTCAGTATTTTTTACTTCAGGTGGAATGTGGAAATGTTAGCACTATTGGGGCCAGCAGGTGGCGTAGTGGTTAAGGTGCTGGAGTCGCACATAACCTACTAGGGTTTGAGTCCTGGATCTGGTGACTTGAAAATCACACTGGGCGTGAGTGTGTTCATTCCTAAGATCTCAGGAGGAGAGTGAAGGAGAAGGGATTGTGGCATGTCCATTCCTCTGATGGATAATTTGTCACACACACACACACACACACACACACACACACACACACACACACACCCTGTTGAGCACATGCACCCTATGGCAGAAAGAGAGAGATGTTAGTGCTATGTAGACTCCTTTATCTTTTCCCATTTATGTTGGTGGTGTCTCATATATTGTATCTACATATACGGGAAACCCCTTTAGACAGTGTTAGGATTTTTTTTTTTTTTTTGAGTTGCCAAACATATTTTAAAGAATTTATGAAGAGATCAGTCCATTGTGTTTAAACAGATTTTTGTCATTTCTG